GAAATATATAAAATCTAAAAATAATGTACCTGTCCTATCCCACTAATTTTATAGTTTAGTCATGTAAATCAAATTATTGATGAGTTTTTCAACCACTCTTTCCAGAAGGTATAGCAAAACAATCTATTAGAAAGGTTCTGTCTCCTTGTACTAGTCCTTTGAACCCAAGAGAAGGATGTAATATTTCACCAGCTCCCAGAAGATTTATCCATACATAAGTCATTATTTAATAATAAATTATTGTCAGTAGGGAGCTCATTATAAGAAAGATTGAGGCAAACAAAATGTAAGTAACTGGGAAAGAAACAATACTGGACATGATCAGAGTGATAAGACAAAAAGTAACAAGAAAACACTTTAAAAAGCTTCAAAGACTATGGAACATCAGATTAACCAAAGTGTAATTAATGCTAATATTTATGAAATAAGATAAAGAGAGAAGCCAAGGGAATGATGGACATATAAAAAAAAAAAAAAACTTAGAAAAATAAAACCATGGAAGAAAAAATTTAGAAAATGTGAAATCAAGGACAGTTTATAAAACTAGCTTTTATGGTAAAAGAGTTGCAACTTGGGTAAGTGAACAGGGTTATACATCTGACACATGTTCTATCAGATTATTGGTCACTAGGTATGCATGTAATCACAAATCTGTATTATGTGATAGATCTACCATAACAGACAATACTTCAAATATGCTATAATTTAGATATAATTTGTATTCAGTTGCTTTTGCTAAAATATTGCAAGTAGGTTTGAAAATGAAATACATTGTATACAAATTCAAATACTTCTCAAATGTAAATAACAAATAATAGTTATTCTTCTTGCTCAGTAAGTTGCTAGAGGCTGAATATGTTCTATATGAAATAGATCAAGCTGTTAATTAATTTGAAAATTCTAAGTTATTTCAAAATCACACTATCTCTTTTTATGACTTTCTGTAACTCCTTTTAAAATTGTATGTATACAGTCCCATATTACTACCTTAAAATTAAACTAAAAATAAAATATTCAAATAAAAATATTTATACAGTCATTAAAATGCATGGAATGATTATCACATATAACCAGGAAATATGAGTTCATGGTATCTGGGAAATTCAGTAGTGTAATTGAAAACCCAATTTGAAAATACTATTTTATAATATGGTTATGCATACTCTATTTATTTATTCTCTAATTTAACATCATCACACATCTATTTTTAACTTTAAAAATTAGAACATAATCTAAAGATATTATCCAAATGACTCCCAAGATTTAAAATAGAAAATATTCATAGTATTAGATTGTGGAAATAACTTTGAATAATGACTCACATTTCAATATAAATGTTCATCGCCTTGAGCTGCTGAATAGATTTTAAAGAGATGTATAAAATTTGTCCATGAAAACAGTCAACTATTGTCTTCAAAGCACTGTGGCTCTAGAGTTTTACCCCTGTGATTAATAGTCACAACTCCACTTTATAGTTTTTTAGTCTCTTTATATTGGTTTTACTGCCCATAATAAAAGATAATCACAAAACTAAGTAGGATTTTTAAAACTTCATTAGAGAGAAAGTACAAATGCCTAGAATAATTACTGGTTAAAAAAAAAAAAAAAAATCACTCACTAAATAGTGGCTAGAATCCTAGTGTGGCCCTGTAGGATAAATAGTGGACTAATAACCACAAGGTTGGTGGTTCAAACCCAATATACACTACTTGGAAACCATATACAAGTTCCCTATTAGTCAGAACTTACTCTAAGGTACTTAACAGCATAAATTGGCCATTGTTAGCTTTAATTATAAATTGACATTTAAATGGATTCTCTTTGGTCATTTGTTATCAAAAGAACAAATGTACAGAACAAGAAGACATTAGGAGCATAATGGGCTATGTGTTGGGCTAGTAACCGTAAAGATTGGCAGTTCAAATCCATCAGGTGCTCCATGGGAAAAAGATGCAATACAGCATACAGCAACAACAGCAAAGAACATTAACGATGAATATTTGTTACACTAAAAAACAGCTATTACATATGTTGTTGTTAAGTGCCTTTGAGTTGGTTATGACTTATAACACTCAATATAGCGTTTCTGAGGCTGTGGACCTTTGCGATGAAAAATGCCTCAACTTTCTAAGAGGAACAGCTGGTTGGACTACTTTGTAGTCCAGTGGTTACCCTACAGAGCCACAGTGCTTCCATTGCATATATTGGTCGATCATAAATAACACAGATGCTGGAAGATAACAGTGATAAGTTTGTGAGTCATTATTTAGCATTAATTAATATGGAACATCCTGTTTTTTGGATTCTATATTGCACTGTTTCACCTCTCAGAGTGGAAGTTAAGACAATTGAATTATTTTTTCTTTATATGTATGTTGTTGTTGTTAAGTACTGTGGAGTTGGTTCCAATCCACAGCGACCCTGTATAGTGTTTCTGAAGAGCAGTTGGGGAGCTTGAATCGCCGACCTTGCAGTTCAAACTGATCTAGCAGTGCAGTGCATTTGTTGTTGTTGTTGTTGTTGTTGTTATGTGCCGTGGAGTCAGTTCCGACTCATAGCGACCCTGCACAGGTTTTCTGAGGCTGTAATTTTCCGAGGCTGTAAATCTTTACGGGAGCAGAAAGTCTCATCTTTTTCCCTCGAACAGCTGGTAGTTTCGAACTGCTGACCTTGCGGTTCGCAGCCCGATGTGTAACCACTACGCTACCAGAGCTCCTTAGTTGACTATTAATCTGGTTCTTCTACTACCTACAGAAGACCTAGTTGTAAACTAGTTTCAAGTTATTGCTAACCAAAAAGCATGTTTTCAAACGCACTAGACAATCAAATGAAGATAGATGTTAATCATTTAAAATGAACAATTTTGAAATTCCTCTGTGTTAGTTCTACTCTGTCATGTATTGACATTGTAGGTCTGAATAGACTTGAGGGAAATGGGTTAATCAAGCACATTTTAGAAAACTAATGCCATGTATTTGATCTTTCGATTCTTTGTTTAAAAATTTAGAAGAATGCTATATCATTATTGCTCAGAGTATGATCTTAATCTGTGATATCTCCTGGAAGTTTGTGTGAAATGCAGAATCACAGGCTCTACCACAGAAGGTTTCATGAAAATCTGCATTTTGATAACTCCAGGTAATTGATATGCTGATTAATGCTTAAAAAGCTAGATTTTAGATGACCTTCTTCAAAACCTTTTTCTCTATAATTGAGTTAAAATCAATGTATAGACCTTGTCACTTTACAGACACATTTTGTAGTCTAAATACACTCACTGATGTTGAATTTTGCTGTTGTTAAGTGCTGTCGAGTCCGTTCTGATTCATAGTGACCCTGTATTTCCAAGGAGTGGCTGGTGAATTTGAACTGCTAACCTTGTGGTTCAAACCGACCTTAAGTTCTATTGCATTATCCCACAATTAAACTTGACATAAATTGAATATCAGAGTGTGAAGCATGAGGAAGAAAAGAGGGAGCAAGGGAATGCTGAGAGAAAAGCTAACAAAGTGCATGCAAGTATGATGTGTCTTTGCTGTAGGAAGCAGTTTGCCTTAAAGCACGTGGCTTATCAATATAGAAATATTTCTTAACGTGAGCAATTCATCACTGTAACGGAGAACTTTGACTATGACATCAATATGTTTTTTGTTGTTGTTAAGTGCCGTCTAGTCGATTCCGACCCATAGCGACCCTGTATAGGGTTTCCAAGGTGAGATTTAAACACCGACATTGCAATTCAAACACCTTTGCAGTCTGACGAATTATCTCACAGCACCACACCAGGACTCCTCAGTATGTTTAAACATGAATAAATCAAGATCCAAAATCAAACTGTGAAAAGGAGAAAATCATTTTGAAACCTTGGTGGTGGTGGTTGTGTGCCGTGGAATCGGTTCCGACTCATAGTGACCCTATATAGGGTTTCCAAGGTCTTTACAGGAACAGAAAGCCTCGTCTTTCTTCCACCGAACGGCTGCTAGTTTCAAACTGCTGACTTTGAGGTTAGCAGCCGTATTTGTAACCACTATGTTACCAGAGCTCCTTAGCAGCCTCAAAAAAAAAAAAAAAAATCTTTCTCCTCCAGAACAACTGGTAGTTTTGAACTGCTAACCTTGAGGTTAGCAGCCCAACTCATAACCACTAAGCTTCCAGAGCTCCTTAGTAGAAACTAAGTACCCTTTAAGCAACATTACAGCCCTGGTGTGGTGCTGTAGGATAAGCAATGGACTGCTAACCACAGGTCATGGGTTCAAACTCACAAGCTAGTCCTCACAAATCCTATACTTATTGGTTATGAGTTAGAACCTACTCTAAGGCACTTAACAATAACAAATACATTTGCCTACAGTATATAGTTTATGTACATAGAACCATAAAACAGTCACCTTTATATGACTTGTTTCACTAGTTATAATATTTTCTTGGTTTATCCATATCTTGGCAGGTATTAGAACTTAATTTCTTATTTATAAATGAATAATATCCCAATATATGTCCTCATATGAGACACATATTACATATCCATTCTTCTGTTCATGGTCACATGAATGCTTTTGAGAAGAAGGATTTTAAATTAGAAGATAATTGGGAAACTATAACTGTGAAATATGCAGGTGACAAAAAATATTTTTGGGAGGCAGTTTTTTACGATTTTATTCAAGGGTGGTACAGAAAGAGTCAACTTAGAAAATAGTGAGTCCAGAAGAAAAGTGGTCTGTCCTTGTGGTTTTGGATACAGTCTATGGCTGAAATAGATACATGGTAATACCTATTTTAGAATAGCTGATGAGGTAGAGAGACCAGATATGAATCTTGAATCTTAAATATGCAGGCTTTGCAAATATCTTTTTGATAATTATTTGGTGACCGGATTCCTAAATTGATACTTAATTATTATAACAAATGACCCACTACTGCATTAAAAAAACATATTGTTGTTGTTGTTAAGTGCCTTCTAGTCAGTTCCGACCCATAGCGACCCTCTACAGGGTTTCCGAGGCTGTAAATCTTTACAGGAGCAGAAAGCCTCATCTTTCTCCCGCAGAGAAGATGGTAGTTTCGAACTGCTGACCTTGCGGTTTGAAGCCCGATCCGTAACCACTACGCTACCAGATATAAAGTGTGCATTATTCCAAGTAGGGGAAGTAGTTTGGTGGTGTGGGTTAATGCGTTGGACTGCAAAGTCTGTTTGAACCACAAGATAGGTGGTTCAAGCTCATCAACTGCTCTTTGAAAACCCTATTTGGGTCGCTATGGGTCAGAACTGATTTGACAGTACTTAATGTAGTGGTTACGAATCGGTCTGCGAACCTTAAGGTCAGCGGTTCGAAACTACCAGCCGCTCCGCGGGAGAAAGATGAGGCTTTCTACTCCCATAAAGATTTACACCTTTGGAAACCCTGTACAGGGTCGCTATGGATCGGAACCGACTCGATGGCACTTAACAACAACAACAACAACATTCCAAATAGGGATTCCTGATGTGGGGCTATAGGATAAGCAATGGACCACAAGGTCAGTTTGAACACACCAGTCCCTCCTTGGAAACTCTCGATGGTGCTTAACAACAACAATTATTTCAAGTACAAAAGAGACACAAATGTTATAGCATGTCAGCATGGCTGCATTCTTTTGACACTCGTTCATGAATCCTTTTATCTTTATTTTTTGAGCATTGTGTCATTTCCCCTCCCAAATTTTACTGCCTTGACTGTTTTCGGATTTTATTTCAGTACCTCAAGGAGCACGGACAATGGAACTGTACCACAGGAATTTCTCCTGTTGGGGTTTCCAGGATCTCAGGCCCTTCAGCTCTCCCTCTTCCTACTTTTTCTGGTGATGTACATCCTCACAGTTGGTGGTAACATTGCTATCTTGATGTTGGTGAGTATTTCCCATCAGCTCCACACCCCCATGTACTTCTTTCTGAGTAACCTCTCATTCCTGGAGATTTGGTACACCACAGCTGCAGTCCCAAAAGCCCTGGCCATACTCCTGGGGAGGAGCCAAACCATATCATTCACTGGCTGCCTTTTGCAGATGTACCTCGTCTTCTCATTAGGGTGCACGGAATACTTCCTCCTGGCAGCCATGGCTTATGACCGTTATCTTGCCATCTGCTATCCTCTACACTATGGTTCTATCATGAGCAGCCTGCTTTCAGCACAGTTAGCTTTGGGCTCATGGATCTGTGGGTTCCTGGCCATTGCATTGCCTGCAGCCCTTATTAGCAGACTCTCATTCTGTGGCCCACATGCCATTAATCACTTCTTCTGTGACATTGCCCCCTGGATTGCCCTGGCCTGTACCAGCACAAAGGCAGTGGAGCTCGTGGCCTTTATGATAGCATTTGTGGTCATTCTAAGTTCCTGCCTCATCACCTTGGTTTCCTACATCTTCATCATTAGCACCATCCTCAGGATCCCCTCAGCCAGTGGTAGAAGCAAAGCATTTTCCACCTGCTCCTCTCATCTAACTGTGGTGCTCATCTGGTATGGATCCACCATCTTCCTCCATGTTCGAACCTCAATCAAAGATGCCTTAGATCTGACCAAGGCTGTCCATATCCTGAACACAGTGGTAACTCCAGTTTTAAACCCCTTCATCTATACACTCCGTAACAAAGAAGTAAGGGAAACACTACTAAAGAAATGGAAGAGAAAATAAATGAACTTAAACACAGAAAATCTCCTGTAAATTATATTCATGTATCTGCAGGGAGTCCTGGTGTGGTGGTGCAGGCTACGCAGTTTCATATTCATATATGAGAAGACAAAGCACATATTTCATGATACCAGACCTGTTCACATAGAGGGGATTACAACTTAAAGGTACCCTATATGAGTCCTGGTGTGGCGCTATAGAATAAGCACTGTGTGCTAACCACAAGGTTGGTGGTTCAAACCCATCAGCCACTCCTTGGAAACACTTTACAGGATTGTAATAAGTCAGAATTAACT